CTGAGCTCGCCTGACCTCGGCGGCCGCCCCGCTGCTCCGCACGGCTGCTTTTGTCATGCCTTGCGGCTTCCGAGAGCGGCCCTGCCTTGTTTCCTACTAGCGTTTTCCTGTTTGTTCCTGTTCTCATCTAGTGATCATCACGATGTAGATAAGTGTCACATTCTCCATGCAGTGGTGTGGCAGCCTGGGAAAATAACCTTGCGCATAAGGCTCCGGTAGGAATAGGAAAGGGAGTAGGCATTTGGAATCGCTGCAAGGAGGAAAGTTTAATGGGAGTAAAGCAGAGTTTGAATCAGAGCAGGTGGGCTTGGCCTACTGAGAATGTATTTTTCTATTGCCCATCTCTGTTTCAGTTGTCTAAATTCAGGCAGATGAAGACTGCAAGAGAATTTGGCTGTTCTTAAGCAGACTCTGAAGTTAGTAGTCATATTGTGCTACATCTAGAAGACATGGAACTATAAAACTACTCTTGTAGTGCAGGATTTCTGACATCTGTTTCTGGGAACTTTTAATGCTTTTCTCTTGGTTGTTTATAAATGATGTGTTGGTATTAGGGAACAGGGAAAGGAAGCTGCAACTATCTGTGAGCTTTGATAAAAATTTGGTAACCAGCTATTCTTTCAAAGCATTTTTGTATCTTGTATGCAGAGATCTATTTAGCTTATAGAGGTAGGATAGTCATTTTGTGAGAAGATTCAATTCAGTCAAAAGGAAATTTTATTTTACTGTAAATACGTAGTTTTCAAAGGAAATCGCAAATCCACAGAAGCATCTGAAAGGGAACTTGTGCAAAACTTGACAGATTATTACATTTGCTTCTACACAGTTTATTTTATCAATAAGTATTTTACTAATAAATAGTTCTGAGGTGCCACTTTATAGTGCAGAAGAAAGTTGACTTTTCCCCCTCTCATTTTTCCTCATTGTAAATCTGTGGTAATTGTCCTAAGAATGAGATGTGTTCTGGCTGTCTGTGTGACATATTTATTAATTATTAGTGCAGAAGAGAAAGAAAACTGTACAATATAGTGTGTGTGTATGTGTATGTATGAGATGTAATAACTCTGGTATTGCCACAATAACTGAATTTTATGAAGCTGTTTTATACTTTGCTGGTGGTATGCTTCATTATTCTTATCATCACCAGTGTTATATTTGTGAATAATATGTAGGCATATTGTTTGGCTTTTAAGTATTTGAAGATCATGTTGTATATTTGACTTACACAAAGTCACTCACACTTTATAAAATTTTTACAGCTAACTTTTCTGAGCAAGTGGTTGAAAGCTTTCCATCTGATATCCCTACTGGTATATACTATGGATGGGCCTGTGTTGGAAATGGAGATGTGCATAAAATGGTTTTGAGCATAGGATGGAATCCCTTCTATAAGAATATTAAGAAATCAGTGGTAAGAATCTTGCTTTTTGTGGGATTATTATTGTAATAAAAGATGAATTCTAATGAGATACTCGGAATTTGATGAATGGTATCTAGAAGTTTGTGCACCATTAGAAATGCATTTGTTATCTATATAATATTTCTAATCTGAAAATAATATACTCTCTGTAACCAGATAATATGCAGAGGAAGTTGAATAAAGTTTTTCTTTCTTCTATTCCACCACTTTTTAACTACTTCCAAAATTAAAATATAATATTACTTGAAATGATGGTTGCTTGACTTGCTGATAGCAGATTAAGCACAAACTTGGTAAATGCATTGAATTTACTAGTTATGAGACCCTAGCAGAAGCTGGAACGTATTAATAATCTATTGTTCTCTGCAGTGTATCTGAATTTCAGATAGGAGATGCTGGTGCAGCTTAATTTGTAATGAATTTTTAATTATTTGTTCTCTTAAATAAGGAAATGGATACATAGGATGCTGTGTCTTAATTTACTAAATAAATATTTGAAGGCATATAAGGATGTAAGGATGGAGAAATCAAAATCCTGAGCTGTCATAGCTGTGGGGTTTTTTTCTGTCAGGTGCTGGTACTTTTCCTGAGTCTTGCAAAGCTCTCTTTTATTTGTATATGAATCTCTACTTCTAAGTGGTTGTCTTAGGAAAATCTATACTTGAAATTTTTTTTGCATATAACTTTTCTGAGCAATCAGTTAAAAGCTTCCCAAGTGTTAGCTCTGTTGATATGGGTTGGCCTATTTTGGAGATCAAGATGTGCATTAAAAAGTTTTGAGTGTCAGGTCCGTGTCTTAGTCTGGACTTGCTCTTCAATTTTATCATTCAGTTCCCTTAGGAGACGGTTGTAAAAGCTCTCCCTGAGGCAACTATTTCTGTCAACATCTTCAGAGTTATTTTAATGCATTCACATGTTGATGAAACATTAACACTTCCTGGCATGGAAATCTTAACTCTGAGAAGTTTTGAAGCACTTCTTCTGATGTCTGGGGGTGTGGGTTTTGTTTTTTTTTAAATTGGTTTGTTGGGTCTTTTTGTTTGGTTTGAGCACTTTTTGT